TATGGATGGATGGATGGATGGATGGATGGATGGATGGATGGATGGATGGATGGATGGATGGATGGATGGATGGATGGATACTTTATTATCCCCAGGGGAAATATGTCTTGGACAAGGTGCGCCACGTGAAGCCTCTTCCACAATCCGTACACTACAAAACAAAGTGTACTGAATTAACAGAGTAAGTGTAAAGAGTCCCACCTGTCCTTCAGCAAACTCCTTCTCTTCCCTCAGCTGCTGCAGAGCTGCATCACCTGCACGGGACGGATCAGAAAACATCAAAAAACTTAAATCAGTCGAGGAAAACCCTGAGCTCTTTGAACTTCCTTCAACTTCTGAGTCTTTTTGGCGCCTGACAAATCACAGAACGGAGGTGAGGGGCTGTTGGGGGGGTCTCCATGAGACTGCTGGTCTTTGCAGCCGCCTCCAGCCTTGCGCAGTAGAAATCTGGTGGATGATCCGGTCCCTGGAGTGACATCACACCCCACGTATGGAAGTGAAGGGGCTGTTTCCAAAGCTGCGACTGAAATCTTGCGTGCACGTAGGTATTTGTTTGTTGTCTTTTTGCTGGACACGTAATTAGAAAAAAGTACTTTAATAACAGAAATGTCTTCACCTGAGAGGACGGTCTCGCTGTCATCCCCCTGTGAGGCCTGACTTCCCAGCAGCCTTTGCTCCAGACTGTGAACTCGGCTCTGCAGCTGAGCCTTGTCCTTCTGTAACGTCTCCACGGCTGACTGCAGGCTTTTGGCCACGGCGTTTTCTCCTCGCAGCACCGTAACCTGCAGAAACACAAGAGACGAGTTCTTAACAGAGCTGGGATCACAGCGCAGCAACAAGGGTCTTTTTAAATTATATTACACAAACAAGTTGTTTAAAATATATGTGTATAACTTAAATATGTTTGTAATAAATATGCACACACATCGCGGCACACCGCACGTCTTGTTTAGCAGAGTTGGCGTCCTGGCCAGCAGAGTTGTGAATGCCATTAAGTTGTTTTTTGGCAGGAGTGAGATCACGCAGAGAGGGCTACACTCAGAACAAGTCAGTAAAAACATCTAGGATCAACATCCTCTTCAGGTGCAATGAGATCAGAACCTCTTCAAGGAGGTTTGGCTCCAAAACATGTCATTTGCTGTGGCCTGTCTGCATTGTTCACATAGAGGGGACACAGTCACATGTCTCTGCCAGTCTGTGTTTAGTGTAACGAGCTCGACGTACAATTAATTGACATGAAGATCTGTGCTCCCTCTTTCAACCACCATGTGAAATCAGCAGTCTCAAATGTGTAACAGTTTTCAACACACTGGAAGGATTTGAACGGGTGAAATTATTTAAATAAATAGAAGAAATGATCCTTTCATTCAGGGGAGAGGCTGCAAAACACTTCAGAATGAGAAACGTTTGGACGAGACAGAAATTCTAGAGATGAGTGACAGACATGATCAGATCTAGAAAAAAGCAGTGTGAATGTTTATTGTAGAGCCCGGCCGATATATCGGTAGGGCCGATATTTTAGGCCGATATATATTTTATGCTGATATTTTACACTGATATATCGGTAGGGCCGATATTTTAGGCCAATATATCGGTAGGGCCGATATTTTAGGCC